TTTTAAATATATGCAATAATTATTTGCATATGCATGTTTCCAAATTAGATCAAATCAAATATAATCAAAAAGATACTTTCCTTGATTATTAACATCTGCAATAATTTTATTGATATTCATTATAATAAATTACAAAATTAATTTTTTATGATTCATGTTGATAGTATTTTGTCAATATAAACATAAAAATATATTTTAAGTTCTAACAATATTACTATATTTTTCACAAATATGGACTTTGCATCCTAAAATATTTATAGAAAATCGTAACAGGTTAGGTAAATTTTTTTCTTCCAATTAATTAGGCAAAATCAAGTTAGTACATTAATCTTTATTAATATAATTTTTTCTTAAACTTTATTTCGTCATATATAAAAACTATTCTTCAAATTAATATAATTTACCATTTAATAGATAATGATTAGACACATTAAATAATTTTACTAATGGTCAGATAATAAAACTAAATATTTCAACCAATCTTTGGAATTTCAAAATGTAATTTATTTGTATATTATGTCAACCATGATTAATTTTTCATTATTTTTTATATTGACTTCTCTCCATAATGAAATTCTTAAAAAATATATTTTCATTGCATAGTACAAAACCTTATGATGCAAAGTAGTAAAATCTCTTGATTATAAAATGAATTTAGTTTTTAGCAATTGCTGAATTAAAGTTTTTTAATTATTATAAAAAATTAAATACGAAAATAACATGTGTCTACATTTTGTAAAATATTTATACACAATATTTTATTTTGAATTTATTTATATAATTTAATTTTACTACATTAATAAATAATATTAATATACGTTAAATATTTTTCATTATATAAAATAAAAAGAAGAAGAAGACTACTTCTATAAGTCTTATATGGTGAACTATAATGACAAGAATATGTAAAACTGTTATATGAAGAACAAGTCTTATATGATAACAAATTTTATAATAAAATAATTAATCAAGTCTTATATGGTGAAAAAGAATATGTAAAACTGTTATTTTTCTTATATGAAGGAATAAATTTATATGCTAAAATCAAATTTATAATAGCATAAATGTTTCAGCGGGATAATATATTAATTAATTTATAGACTATGGCTAATAGGCTCAAGTTTAACGTTATGACTAAAAAAAATACTGATTAAAAGAGGTAGAAATATATAATCTAATTCTATTATTTTTAGGCCTAAAGATACAAACCTATGAAAATGACTAATTTAACATTTCTGACCCGTGCATCCTACGGGCTATATAGTAGTACATTTTGAAAAATGGAGATCATAGAAATAATGATAGAAGATTCTCTTTTACAAATGTTCAACCATTTTGGGATTAAAATTCAACATTTTCGAGAGCGTATAAATTTTTCAAATCAACACATGTTATGCTTACTATTAAATTATTATTAAATAAAGTTGTGAAAGATCTTAAACTAGAGTTGATGCTAATAAATTATTAATAAATAGAATTGTGAAAGATCTTAAATTAAACTTGATAGTGAAAAGAAACGCGTCTCAAGAACAAAATTTTTGTCTTAATTTCAATTAGATATAGAATCTCATTTTATTTGTTATGCTTTGCAATAATTTCGATTTGTATTTGTAAAATTGATAAATATGTAACTATTATGGGTACAAAATTGCTTTTATTTTTTTTGGTTTGCATTAATATCAATTTGTATTTGTAAAATTGATAAATGTGGAACGTACAAAATTGCTTTTTAGTAACAAATTTATCTTAATCTCGGTTAGATATAAAATAAATCTTATTTTATTTATAAAATTGATAAATCTGAATAAAGGTATGCGTACAAATTTTTTTTTTTTTTTTATTAACCAAAGAAATAATAATAATTTTGAAATCTTCTATACTCAAATCACTTAAAAAAATAATAATAATAATTTTGAAATCTTCTGTACTCATATTTTTAGTTACGTACTATGTAAATTCTCTCATAAACTTTATAATATCTTTATTTAGGCTTATAACATTTTAGATACTTATATATAATATTTTATCATGTCATATTCTATCTCTATATATACATATATGTATACACATATACATATACATATTAAATTTAAATATTTTTAAGCATGTTTTCTTTACAAAAAAGTTTAGAAAGCGTCTTTTGTTTTTAGACATGTTTTCTTTTCAAAATAGTTTAGAAAAGTTGTAGGTGACTTCACATCTTTTAATAATAATATAGAAAATTTTAGATACTTTTACATATGTTAATATAATATTTTAGGTGTTTTTAATATTTTAAACATACAAATTTTATGTTTTCTTGTACAAGCTAATTTTATATTGTTTATAATAAAATGATATACAATAAATTACATCATATGTTAACTTCCCATCTTTAATTTATAATTATTATTTAATATTATTTATCCCATCTTTAATTTATAATATTTTGTTTTTCTTGCTCCTTTAAAAGATGATCAATTGTAGTTCCTCACTTCTTTCATTGGGTGACTCGAACTTGAGACTTATTTATAATTAGTATTAATATTGTTTAACCGATGCATCGCACGGGCTACGCACTAGTAATAACTGAAAACGAAATGTGTTTTATTCATACACTTTATTGTTTCAACACGAACTATTTTCATTTTATTATTTTATTTTTTTCCTTTGGATCGTGTTTTAGAATATCTCAATGGATGAATAGTACCACTTGCATTTCCCTTAATTTTAATAACATATAATATATATATATATAATAAAAATCTTTATGACAATAAATTTTATTCAGTCAGCAATTAATAAAAATAGGACTTCATTTAATAAAAATCTTTATGACCATCATTCAAATGACAGTTACACAAGTAAAACCTTATTATTATTAATTTTTTATTCTGTAACAGTTTGACAAGATTTTAAATTTTCTGAATATACAATATTAAATTATTTTACAGTATTATGTTTTTTTTTTTTAAAAAAAAACTGATTTATATGAATGTTAAATAATTTATATTTATATTATACATTTACATATACGTACAGTATATGAATAGTTTGACCAAATTTTAAAATGTGATACACACTTTATCTAATTTAAATTTTTAAATATCATATACGTACATATAATATATAATTTTTTGTTTCCTTCTGTGCATGTGCACAGGATCGAATACTAGTATTAGAAGAATAGTTCATCATTTTTTGTCTTTTCTTTTTTCTGGTATTATTTACGTTGCTTTAAAACGCAATTTACAACGCAACTTAAATTATTTAACATTCAATTGTGATACATTTTGCATCAATATTATTATGCAACACATTTCTTTTTATATTTTAAATTATATTATTTATGCAGACACTTTCTTAACATATGACGCATACATATAACTCTGTCAATAAATAACAATTTGAATTAATGTATCATATATTAATATTATATATATAGATGGTATATTTATTATATTTTTACATTTTAGAAGTATATCCATAGTTTTTAAACCCGGCCCGGTGATCGACCTGGGCAGGTCCTCGGGTCACCGGGTCACCGGTTCAACCGTCGGGTCACCGGGTCAATTGCTGAACCGGATAATTAATTTTAAAATTTTCAAAATTATATATAGATTTTTTCTGTTATATAAATATACATAAAAGTAACAAAATTAAATGTTTTGTGTATAAAATTTGTATATTAAAGTGTTAATAATATGTATCTTATGATAAATATTTACCATATAAACATATATACATATTTTTATTTTTAAAAAACAAAAAAAATAAAAAGAAATATAAAAAATATATATGGACCGGGTTAACCGGGTTGACCCGGCCGAGTCAATGCCTCGGGTCGGTCGGGTTTTGACCGGGTTTGACCGAGTCCTTGGTTGCCCGGTCCAAATACTCCACCCGGACCGGTTTCGGCTCCGGGTCGACCGGGTCCCGGGTCGACCCGCCGGGCCGGTCTGGGTCTCAAAACAGTGAGTACAGCGGCATAAGCTCTTACCCCGGCCCACTTATATATATGGATTGCCTTATAATACTAAAGCACAACAGAAAATCAAGGTGGAATTAAATATTATTATTATTATTATTATTAAACATAAGCTCTTAACACTAATTTCCTTTCAATTTTGGATTCTATTTGTGCCCCATGAATTTCATAGGTCAGTCGCTGTTTATATTGAACATATTTTCCTTGCAATAGATTGTGCGAGGGAAAATTTCAATTTTAGTCCCACAGGTATGGGGGGTGACATTTTTTGTCCCAACGGAATGCCTAAAATTCAAATGATCCCGCAACTTTTAAAAAATGATCAAAAGTAGGACTTTATGCCCTTTTCCGGCCCGGAAATCCACGTTCGCACCTATGTGGCTTTTTTTTATCCACGCTGGCCTCATACGTCTGACGTGGCTGAGTACACCCACACGCCTGACAAATAAAACGGGCAAAATCAGAAATCTTCCATTTCAAATCTTAAATTCTCAAAATCAGAACCCTAATCCCCAAATCGCTACAAAATCGCCCCAAAATCGTCACAAAATTTTTTTTGATCGAAAGCACACTTGAGGAGAAGCTGAACGCAGGAACGGGCATACTCATATTTCTTCCCCCAATTTCCCAAAATTGTCAAATCTCAACCCTAGTTGAAATATGTCTTTTGTCACCGGAGATGGGATATGCCGTTGTGGTCGGAGGACGGTGATTCGCACAACGTGGAAGGACGCCAACCCTGGGCGGCGATTCCAGTCATGCTTGAATTACAAGGTAAGGTGTTAAATACAATTGCATATTTAATGAAGTCTTTTTCATATGTGAAGAATTAAACCTTTTTCTTGATTTCTAAATTATACTATCACAGAATGGAGGCTGTGATTTCTTTGACTGGTACGATCCTCCAATGTGCCATAGGTCTAAAATGATTATTCCTGGCCTCTTGAGGAAGATGAATGAAAGAGAAGCTGGGATTGAGAAGCTGAAATTAAAAAATGAACATTTGGTCAAGTTGGATAAAAAGTTGAAGAAGATGAATGAAAGAGAAGCTGAGATTGAGAAGCTAAAATTAAAAAATGAAGATTTGGTGAAGTTGGTTAAAAAGTTGAAGAAAATTGTCTGCATTTTGGTTCTTTTACTGGTGTTTACCATATTGTCCAAGTTCAAAGTTGCTAAGGAAAACCCAAGTGGAATGAACCAAGTGAAGATGCTGCAGTGACTATCCTTTTGAATGGTAGGATGCTTCAGTGTCTTTGCTATAGTGAAGATGTTGGTGTTTGCATTTTGATTGGTAGGATGGTGAAGACTTTTTTCTTGTGTTTTGTATTTTGTGAGGGTGGTTAAGATGTTAGGATCCTATATATGTTATGTTAAGACCTTTTGGTAAGATGTAAGATGTTGTATTTGGAATGACAAAAGCTGTCTTTTGGTTTATTTTTGTATGTTATAAGAGAATGTTAAAGCTTTATTTTGATTGTTAAGTTGTTATGCTTAACATTTTTTATGAGAAATCTTTAAACCAAAACAAAAGCAGATTACCTATTTTTCATTAGGAGAAGAACTGCATTATGAGACCAAATACAACAACATTATGAGAACTTCATAAAGGACACAAACACAAACACAATATCACCAATACCATATTCATTATATAGTTCTTGCCATTGTATTCAAACACAATCCCAAGAACATCTACACCAAAAGCTGTTTGTCCACAGGACAACCAAAACAAATATTTATCAACCATCCAATTGTTTCTGAACCAAAACATGTCCAAAGCAAGTTTCATAATAAAAGATTTACACAGAACTTAACCTAACACACAAATTTTCATTATATTCACTTCTTTTTCCCCTTTCCTTTCTTCATTTGCACTCCTGTTTGGCTTTCCTGAGAGAGGTTCATGAACTTTTTCCCACATTCCACCACAATTGACTTCGAGCTGTTGGGCATGGTACTGAATAATGGTCTGTTATATCCTCCTGTGATTGGTGGGGGTGCTCTGATATTGATCCTAGTCTGCAGAGGGTTAGTCACAGGTGGCTGGTTTGAGGACATTTTCAGTTGCTCAAATGGAGAAGGACCTGGCTCGTGAGGCTGCACATACTGATATATGTTGCTGTCAACCTGGCTTTCAACTGCTGCCATCAATTCCTGATCTGAATCACACTATCCATCAGATCCTCATGGGTGGGTGGCAAAATATGTGAATTTGCATTTTTCTTCTGTTGTGGTGCATTAGATGAATTCTCCACACCTCTTTTGCTTTGTTTGTTAACCTGAAAAAGATAAATAGTTATAAAAAAATGTTGTAAATGAGCAAACAAAATACATGTGTAAGAAATATACTTGTGGCTGAGGCTGCTCATGTTCATAGAAGTCCATCTCAGTATAGTTATCAATTGTTGCCATCAACTCCTCATCTGAGATGACACTATTCATCAAATCATCTGCTCTGGGTGGTAAAATATTGGCATTTGCATGAACCTCCTGTTGTTGTTGTGGTGCATGACAAGATTTTCCAACTGCATCTGTGTTTTTCTTGGTAACCTAGCCAACACACATATTCATAACTTTTTTGATACAAGGAGCAATTAATTGAAATACATATTTTTTGTAAGAAAAGATGTAATTTTACGTTTAACTTCTCCCTCCTGATAGGGATATTGGCATTTGCAATTGCATTTGCTTCCTGTTGTTGTGGTGAAGTAACCTAGACAATATACATATTTGTAAGAATTTTCTTAGAATGAGCAATCAATTCAAATATATGATTTTGTAAGAAAATTAATGTAAGGACAATATATATTTTACCTTGCATCTGAGAGCATTGTGACCTGCTGCATGACATTTAGAACACCTTACAGTTGTTTGTTGTTTCTTAAGCTTGAATGGACAAGTTGACCTATTTCTTTTACCCCTAGGTTCATCAGGTTCTCTTCTTCTCAAAGAAGTGGGTCTGCCTCTGCCTTTTTTCTTACCATGAAGGGGGGGGTAAAGGAGGAACATAGGAAGTCTGCCCCCATACAGAGTCACCACTCATTGGCATGATTGCACATTCATATGCTAGTCTGTAGGAGTCTACTGAGTAAAAATGGCTCACAAAGTCAACTGGGTCTTCTTTTTGGTTGATAATGGCTCTAAGAGCATATGTGCAAGGTATACCACTCAACTCCCAAGCCCTACAAGTACATGTTTTTTTTGTCAAGGGCCACAGCATACTGTTCTCCACCAGAGCAAGAAATTTGATAATTTTTATCATCTGCTTTAATTGGAATGCACTCACCCATCTTCTCTATATGTTTGTCCAAGATCTTTTGTATCTTAGGACACAATTTTCCATGCCATTTTGCAGCTGCTCTGTCCCTATTATGCTGGAGCCTTACCATCAGATACTCTATAATCCATTCCAGCAAAGTGATGATGGGCTTGTCTCTTGCCTCAAGGATATTTGAATTGAAAGCCTCACAGACATTGTTAAGCACCATATCACATTTTGGGACACCTGAGAAGTGTGATTTTGACGACTCCCTTGGTGGTTTATCATGAAACCATGACCATGCATCTGGACTGAGATTTTTCATATCCATCATCTTCCTCTTAATTCTACAACTGTAGTAGCTTGTGCAGCACCCCACAATGCTAGCTTAAAACTTAAGCCCCTGAAACCTGCATTCTTGAAGTTGCAGTGTAGGTGTCTAACACAGAACCTATAAGGACTATTTGGAAAAACCTCTTTGAAAGCCTGTATTAAACCCTTTTGTTTGTCACTCATGAAAGTCATTTGCTCATCAACATCAATCTCTAGGTCTGACTTAAGTATGGTTAAAAACCATGACCAAGTCTCTCTTGTTTCTCCACTGACAATAGCATAAGCTATGGGGAATAAATTGTTGTTGGGATCAACACCCACTGCAGTCAGCAAGATACCTAGATTATGTCCCTTCAAGTGACAACCATCTACACCAATTATTGGCCTACATCCCTTGTTGAATCTCCTTTTCAAAGCATTAAAACAACAGTAGAACTTACTGAATCTGGTTTCACCATTTGAAGTGACAGTGTCAAGGATGACAGTGCTTCCAGGATTGGTCTTCCTCAGCTCATCAGAATAGTCCCACAACTTAGAGAATTGCACAAAAGGATCACCTTGTATCACTTTCAAAGCTCTCCTCTTGGCCCTGTATGCTTGTTGCTTGGACACATCAACTCCAAGCTTTTTAATCACTTCAGCCCTCCACCCTTTGGTAGTCCTCCTAGGATCAGTCTCAAAACTTTCAAGATACTTTTCACTCAACCATTTACTTTTTAAGTTCTTCACAATGAACTCTGGTTGACAAGTGTGATCAGGAAAGTAAGTAGAAATTATGAAAGTTTCTTCATCTGGTTTCTTAAGAGCATTGATTCTCCATTTGCAGCTCTCAGCCTTACACTCAACATATACCCTTCTATTGTCATTCTTTGTAAACTTCAAGTTTCTTTTTGTGCTAATAGCATGAGACTGAATTGCCTTCTTAAATTCTGCCTTAGTAGCAAAAACCATGCCTAATTCAAATGTTGGATTGAAAATAAGTGCAGGGTTGAAGGCAGGCTCACTTGGCTCACAATCTTCATCAGACACCCTAGACTCATCTAGTTGAGGGCTATGGATAACCATATCATCTTCCTCATCATCATTATCTGAACCATTGACATCATTATATGAACCATGGACATCATTATATGAACCATTGACATCATTATCTGAACTATTGACATGTTTATCCATATCATCAACATGTTCTTCCCACAAATCATCATCATCTTCACTACTATTTTCAGTACTCATGTTGTAATCAGAATCATTTAATTCATCAGAATCAGAATTATGTTCATCCACAAATATCCTATTCCTACTTATACCATGGCTTCTTCATATGGTAGCCAGATGGAGCCCAATGTCTTCTTATTTGGATCATTTGGAACAGACTCAGGAGCAGATTTAGGGTCATTAGACTTAGAGGGCTCACTGGGCATAGACTCATTAGGTTCAACAACAGGATCCATCAAATCAACATATATATGCATCTCTCTAGTTCTAACAACATCTTGAACAAATTTACTAAGATCTCTGTCACTGCACAATAACAAAAACCCACTACTCTCATACATGTACAACCCCATCTCTCCAGTGATCCCTACTTGTTTGCACCAAAGAGTGATAGCCAACAATTTCAATTCTTGTGGGGTGACATAATCAACTATAAAAATCTTACCTCCTTCATATTTTGGTGTTGAGAAATGTTGAAATTTTCCATTCCAATGCACCACCAATGAGAAAGAATCAGACGTTGGATCTGTTAATTTTTGGGAAACAAAAAGTGGTCAATAGTGTATACATCCGTATGAACACATTTGATAAAACAATGGACACAAATATACAGACAAGACAAGAAAATGCCAAAAATTCCAAAATAATGGAACAAAATACACAAAATCGAAATAAACTCAAATGATAACTTACGATATATGGGAGGAGGCAAATTCTGGTGCAATTTTTGACGGAGTAAGCCCATCCGCGTTCCGCCGTATGCGCAATTGTGATTTTGATCAACTTCAATCGTTTACTCGAAGTTGGGGCGATTTTTGGGGTTGGGGATTAGGGTTCTAATTTTGGGGGAAGATTTCTGATTTTGGGGGGAAGATTTCTGATTTTCCCTCGTTTTATTACCAGGCGTGTGGTTTTCTCAGCCACGTCAGACGTACGAGGCCAATGAAAAAAAAAAAAAAGCCACGTAGGTGTGATGTAGATTTCCGGGCGAAAAAGGGCAAAAAGTCCTACTTTTGATCGTTTTTTAAAAGTTGCGGGATCATTTGAATTTTAGGCATTCCATTGAAACCAAAAATGTCACCCTCATACCTGTGGGACTAAAATTAAAATTTTCCCGATTGTACGAAGACGGGAGGCCATAATATGCTGTTTTGAACACCAATTCAAATGTTGACATCAGTTCAACATAGTTATTCGTAAACGGCCACAAAAAATCAAAGAAAACCAAACATGATCCTCTTTTTGACATTTCAGACATAATTAATGCAGCTATTCTGTTAGTGTTATTATTATTATTATTGTATAGAAAGAAGACGAGAATGATTCATTATTAAGGCTTCCATTGAATATAAGTTCTTTTTTCCGCGTTCAAAATGAGATGGAAAAAAAACGTTGAACCCTTTCTTNATTCAAAAATACGTAAGCGAAACAATATCATTTATTACAAAGTATATAATAAATGTTAATTTTTATATTTTAATTGTAGTAGTGGAAAATAAATAGTACATTAGCATTTTTTTTTTTCATGTGCGAGAATTGAACTCTTGACTGACGGTCAGAAACTAAAAATTTATTGACACCATTAAAGACAATCACCGAAGAAAAAGATGTTAAAAGTTAAAAACAGAGGACAAATATATACCAACCCCAGTTACGTTCTTCTTACAACCAAGTTAATACAAAGTCTCTCCGCCTCAGTCGACTCTAACTTGATATCAAGTTCTTGTAACTGTGTAAGATGTCATTACATTATTCTTGTAGTGAGATTATATTAGCTTTTCCATAAGTATATTAGTTCTATATTTTAACATATGTTGTATCAGTTTCTTCATTGGTTTTACATTAGTTTTTGTATATATGAAGGTTTGAGGAGCTAAAATGGCCAAATATCCTTCGCATTTTATCTCGATTTTGCTATTCTGTTGCTGGGTAGCAGTGTCAAATGCCAAATACACGATATATCAAGATTCCAAACAGCCAATAAACAAGAGAGTCAAGGATCTTTTGAGCAGGATGAGCTTGAAGGAAAAAGTCGGACAGATGACACAAATTGAACGAGAAGTAGCATCAGCTGATGTTATGAAGAAGTATTACATAGGTAAATTAGAATGAAGATAATATATTTCCCTTTATATAACTATATAACAAGTTTCTTTATGTTGTATAATAAATAATGAGGAAAAGGCATATGAATTTGGCTGCCAGATCAACCTTACTTTACATTTAGTCCTTCCAAGTCTCAGAAATTACGTTATTTCGACAACCACAGATCGGTTAACTAAAAGCTGGATAAATCTTGTCCTACTTTTCAAATAATGTGCCTAATTTTGTGAATCTACTTAATTTGAGTTTTGCAGGCAGTGTACTAAGTGGTGGAGGTAGTGTCCCGGGCCCACAAGCGTCGGCTGAGATGTGGGTTGATATGGTGAATGGTTTTCAAAACGGTTCGTTGTCTACACCTCTCAAGATACCAATGTTGTATGGGATTGATGCTGTTCATGGCCACAACAATGTCTATAAAGCTACAATTTTTCCTCATAATATCGGTCTTGGAGCTACTAGGCAACTACTATTCTCTTTTTCTTAATCCTTTTTCACCTTCATATTCTTTTTCGCTTTTTTTTTCCAAGTCATTAATTTATTTGGTTTTCGGTTTTGTGCAGAGAGCCTCAACTGGTGAAAAGAATAGGTAGCGCGACGGCTCTTGAAGTCAGAGCTACAGGCATTCAATACGCTTTTGCGCCTTGCGTTGCGGTACTAAACTGGGCTATTATTAATTTCATATAGAAAAATCTATAGCAACTTGAAATAACATTAATGGCAAGTCATTTTTTTTCATTCATATATATGAATTAAGGTTTGTAGAGATCCAAGATGGGGCCGTTGTTACGAAAGTTACGGTGAATATCCAGAGTTGGTTCAAAACATGACTGAAATTATACTTGGATTGCAAGGCGATATACCTGCAAATTATACCAAGGGAGTCCCTTTTGTTGATGGCCCGTAAGTTATACATACAAATGGTCACATTCAGAGTCTTTCACAATCATTCACCCTTGGCTTGGAATATATCCGTTTTTAAATTAATCCTCGTTTTCCAGGGAAAAGGTTTTGGCATCGGCCAAACACTATGTGGGGGATGGTGGGACCACAAAGGGCATAAACGAGAACAACACGAATGTGAGCCCGCGCGAATTGGAGAGCATCCACATGCCACCTTACTTGGACTCCATCAGCAAAGGCGTGGGGACAGTGATGGTATCATACTCGAGCTTGAATGGCGTCAAAATGCATGCCAATCGTAAACTCATAACCGACTACCTCAAGAACAAGTTGAAATTCAAGGCAAGTAATTTAAGTCTCTATATATGATCTTGGCTTTAATGAATGAACAAAAGATTTTGAATTCATTGTGATTTTACTTTTTCAGGGATTTGTCATTTCGGACTGGCAGGGAATAGACAAAATCACTTCTCCCCCTGGTTCGAACTATACGTACTCGATTCTTGCTAGTATCAATGCTGGCATTGACATGGTGGGTCTATATATTTTCATATTAAATACAAGAAAGTAAAAAAAAAAAAAATGAAGATAGTGATCAAGATATTTCATACACTGTGCAGATTATGGTTCCATACAACTACCAAGAGTTCATTGATGGCCTAATCTCATTAGTAAAGAAAAACTTCATTCACATTACCCGAATAAACGATGCGGTGACAAGGATTCTAAGAGTCAAATTCACGATGGGTCTTTTTGAGAATCCATTGGCGGACTACAGCATGGCCAAGTACCTCGGGTGTCAAGTTAGTCACACTCTATCACTACAGCATGTGTACTCATTCACTTAAAACGCTTCTAAATTAAAAAAAAATAAAAATCCACAGGAACACAGGGAACTGGCAAGGGAAGCAGTAAGAAAATCACTCGTGCTGTTAAAGAACGGTAAATCGACCGGTAAACCATTGTTGCCGCTTCCTAAAAGAGCATCAAAGATTCTTGTTACCGGGACCCACGCTGACGATATTGGCAACCAATGTGGCGGCTGGACTATACAGTGGCAGGGACAGCCAGGCAATATTACAGCCGGTAAAAACACACCATGCAGTTTCAATTTTCCGTATATATATCATATATCTATATCTATATTTATATCTTTATCTATATCTATCTATCTATCTATCTATATATATTATTATTATTATTATTTTATTTTTTATTTATTATTATATTATATATTATTATTATTATTATTATTATTATTATTATTATTATTATTATTATTATATCATTATTATTATTATTATTATACTGAACGAGTGATTTTGTAAAAATAATGATCTGTCTAAAAAATTCTTACTTTGACATATTTTTGATGACAAATTAATAATACAGTAATATTCATCTTATATTATATTTTTAATTAAAAAATATATGGTAATAACAAATAAAGTACTTGATTATATAAGAATTAAAAAAAATGAAAGGCATACGTGATATGCCTATACTAACCTTTATAAAGAATTCTAATAGTTTCAAACTCTAATTATTTTAATTTAAATGTGTTTTATTGAATCAAATCCATATCATGGAGTCATAGGACAACTTAACAATGTGTCTAATGACGATATTTTTCAACTTATGCTAACATGAAACTCTTAAAAATAGACACCTGATTTTTCTTATAGATATGAATCCATTTATTCATCTATAGTGGACTCTAATCATATATTAATATATGATTAAATAAAAATTAATTTCTATACACTCACGTAAAACATATTTCAAAAGTATACATTCAAAATAAACTAATATTAAATTAGTTATTATTCATTTTGGTTGTTAACATCTAAAATATTTACCTAAAACAAGTGACAATAAGTTCGTGATTTTGAAAATTATGACATATAATGAAATATTGTATGAGAAATGGATCAAGAAAATATCTATATATGTACTAATATAAAAGGAGGAATGATTTTATAAAAAATTACACAGATTAAAAAACATTCTTATATTTATATTATTTTTAATGAAAAAATTGTAATAACTATTAAGTATCTCTATGAATATAATCACAATTTAATATTTCAATAAAATAGGATTCTAACAAGGACAAAACTCTTTAAAAAATAAAACCTAAACAAAAATAGATTTAAATAGGTAAAAAAAAAATTAACTTATAAATAAATAAAAAATAAACAAAGGAGATGCAAACTATTTCAATAAGATTTAATTAAATTAAAATTTATTCCAAAATATATGTGGAATAAATAAAAATGTAGGGGAAGTACTATCCTCAATTTCACAACATACATTATTAAGTATGAAGTATTATAGTATGAATTTGTTACAATTTTAAATTTATATTATTTTCATATTACTAATTACATAACTACATGTCATAATAAACAAATTTGATCTAACATAATTATATAAAATTTACATGAAACAAATAGAATGACATATAAAACTACTCAAATGTCTTATTCCAAAAAATAGAGTATCAAGTAGGATAGATGAAAAAAATAAATAATAAAAAAAACACATGATATAATATATGTATTTGGACATGAATTTATGGACATAATAGTAATTATTAAAATATAAAAAGCATAATATTATTCTATTTTTATTCATATACAGATTTAATTTCTAGAATTAAAATATTTGAACACAATAATAAACTGATCAGAAGAAATAATAATGTTAACTAATATATATCTTTTTTTATTTTACTAAGAATCTATAAATTGTGTACTACATAGTTTATTAAAAGGTTCCCTTTATTAAACTAAAGTTGAACAACTATTTTAAATAATATTTTTTTGTCAAAAAAGTTAATTTTTCAAAAACCAACAAAACCTTATAAACATAAATATATCAATAAAAATTACACTATAACAAAGAATATCATTTAAAAAATTAAATGTGACGACATATTTCCAAATAGATAAATATTGATTGCTTAAGATATTTTTTTTATTTGATATATTTATAATAGTAACACTATAATTACAACAACTAGTAAAAGATATAAAAGTATAATTTTTTAGTAATATTAAAAGTACGAATTATAACAAATAAAATTCTGTTAACAAAAAAGTAGTTAAATATAATTGTCAAATAAATTATAAAATATGTCAACTTTGAATAGTAATTTTTTTATTTAGCTACAAAATATCACATTTAATATAATTAATACATATTTCTATCAAGATGAATTATATAAAATATATTGATATTCTTTTACGGAGTTAATATAAACATATAAAATAAATAATACATAAATAGCTTACATTCCATGAAATATTATTTCAAATCCACAAATTATTTTTTAATTTTCAATAACATAAATAATTCTTTTGATTTTTTTGTTAATCACTCATGAAACAATTGTATGATTACGCCATAAACTGAACATTGAGATTTCTGATGTATGAAAATATAATATAAATAAAATATGAAATAGTATGTAATAACTATTTTGTATATATTTAGTGATTATAATATTTATATTTGTTAATTTTTATATATTTTTTTAAGGGTCAAATTTCATTGTCCTCAATAATGGGGTTTGATGTATTAATAATTAAATTATTATTTTTAAATTTGTAAGAATATAAGGTATCAGTAGTTTATTATTTTTAAATCTGACTTTATATAATTGTTTGTTAATTAGTGCACTTTTTGTCTATGTTGAATCTACAACTAATTTACATAAAAGAGCAAAAGATTCACACAAAAATTTTGTGATATCTTTTGATGATGGTCAAGATCTAATCGCTATTTTGATGTCAAATAAAGGAATTATACATACCCTCGTGGGGTAATGAACTTTCATTTATATAGAATTTTTTTTATATCATTAATAATTATTCTATTTCATTTGTAGTGTACCTTAAAGTTATTTCTGAGCATTTCAAAATTCTTAAACTATTTAAGGTCACCAAAAGAATTTAATATTAAAAGAAAAGAGTTATAATATGTCTTAATTAGTATTCTTGAAAAATTTAATACAATCGATTAATATTCAAAAAAATTATTTATTTTAATTTTTATATTAATATATATAAGATCTTTTTTAAATAGGTATCTTTTAGAAAAATTATAATTTTATATTTTTATTTATTTAAGAAAAAACTATTAATTGTGTAGTTGTTATGAAAGTTTTTTTTTTTTTGAAATGGCATTTCTTTTATCATTTGTGTTTGGTGTCTTTTAATAACAAAATTAGAATTGCTATTAAATATTTTAATAGAAAAGAGTTTTAAGTACAATTTCATACCTAATAAATAATGAAATTCAAATAACTAAAAGTGAACTAACTATCAGTAATAACATAAAACATGCAAATATTGAATATCTCTTAAAATTTTTATGAACAAAAATTTATATTATAATATAGTTGACTCAACTCGGCTATATAATTGATGAATTTATAATTGTGAACAAATAGCTAGAATTTCACATACATTAGTTAAAAAGGATATAACAAAAATATATTTTGAAGTTAGAGATAACATTATGTTGCAAAAAAGAGAATATAATTATCATCAAGATTAAAAAATAGAATTTCTAGGGTAAAATTGTAATTTTGAGATTTTACTATATTTTTTTTGGATGGGATACCGCTTTTATGTTATAACTTTAATAAAGTTATGAGCTGAATTAAATTATAATTAATTGAATTGTAAAGTAATTCATTATATATTTTATTTCTTGTAATTTTATTTTGAAAATAGAGGCCATGATTAAAATTATGAAAAAAAATCTCACAACTGTTGTTAGATACCTTATCCTAAATGTTTTGGGATGAAGACCTGTGTCGGGCCTATAAACATGGATCTGCCCATGATTACAACAAAATATTTTTGTCAGAAACTTTTCATTAGAAAATTCAAAAGGGAGTAAAATATTCATAAGAGTATCACTGAAATTCTACTGTAATATATTTTCGTTGAAATTCTACTAATTATATGAAAATTGTTGATAATGATAGAAAATATAACACATTAATGTAATTTTCATTTAATTTATGATAGGAAGTAATATTTTCAAAACAAACAAGATACATCTAGGTTGAAAAGTCTTTAATTATTTTAGTAGTATTATAGTAACTACAAAAGAGGTAAGAATGAAATTCTATGTAATAAAAATGTAAGACTATGTAATGAGAAAACATATAGCTCGCAATCAATCCGTAAATAAAAAAAGTGATAAAATTAATTAATGTCATATATCAGTTGGAGCTGACTAAGGGAAAATATAAATATATTCAAAATGAACATTTATTTTAACGAGAACCTTTAAGCACATAAAAAATATGTATTTTTGGAATTAAAAATTTGGTATGGTAGTCTTAAATTTTTTAGTTACAAATTTAATTACTGTCTGCCATTAAATTTTTAATTTTAAAATACTTAATATTTATTTATTTCTTACCCTTTTTATACTTAATATATCACACCATTTCTTTCCAATAACTTTTAATTAACCAATGTGTTGTAAATAAAATAGAAATAATATACTTATTTCTGTCGATAAAATAATACACACACACACACACACACACACACACACACATATATATCTACTAATTTAGAATAATAAATGGACCTAAAAGTATCTTATAAAATAAATTACAAATCCATGTTAAACAAGTTTTATTAATAAGATAAATTTGTGCTATATTTTGCTTACATAGATCTGAAATATTCATACAAATAAGAAAAACGTACAAATGAATGTAAATTTACAACTATTACCAACATTAAGTATGTGAATTAAAAAGAGAAATAAATTAGTTGTATTAAACAATTATTCAGTTACTACATAAAAGGAACACCATAATGGTTGTAACATATAACATATATTTTCAATGTATACAAAAATGAGTTAATTACTTAATATTTTATCAAACAATGAAAAAATATAAACTTTTTAATATTATAACCAGTATACATTTTTGTCAGATATATTATTATTATTATAAATAAATAGATAAGTAATGTTAAATAGTATTTATCGTATTTGATTATATGAATTGTAGCCTAATAAATAAGATACTTTGATTACAACGTCATTGTATAAAGTACGTACAAAAAAATGACGCAATACATATAAATGTGCTTTAATTCTTTTAACAAAAAAATATTATTTGTAAATAGCATAAGAAACAAATAAAACGAAGTAATTCAATTGGAAAAGAAAAAAGTTTGAATTTTCTTAGAGAAATATGAATACCAATATCTAGAAACAAAAGTCTTTTAAAATTAGTACCTTTTTTTGCTAGCGTCTAAATATATGAACTCTATAAGAAATTAGTTCTCATAAATAACGATCCTATATTATCAAGAATTTTAAATAATCTAAAAAATAAAAAACTTTGTAATAAAGAATGAAAATTTTAATAATAACTTGGTAATAATAAAGTTCGCAGAGCGGCTAAAAGTATCATAATATAATAGAATTCTAATTCTTCTCTTCTCAAATATTTTAACAAATGATATTCTTATTAATATTGTCTCATTGTTTTTTTGAAGTATTATGTGTAATGGGAAAAAATTGGACAATAAAATCATTAAAGAAGTTATAGACACATAAGTACTGCAAATTCGAACGAATGTGAAAGGTATTATATATGATAAACAACGCTAAAATCATTGCACCAACCAAGATGTTCAATGATTTGCAAACAATAGATTATATAGTTCGTTTGTCTTCTAAATAAATAACATTGAAAAAGAAAATGTCGAAGCCTGATCAAAACATTCTTGAATGTTTGAATGAAATTGTCCCCTTTTTATAGGAATATTAATAATCTCATTGTGTATTTTTGCTCGAGTATATGTGCAATTATTTTACAGTACGTACTTCATGTAATGTGATGATTTTAAAAAGTAATTTAGCGTCTCGAGAGAAATACATGTAACCAAAATTTTGGAAAGTCAAATTTTATTTGGAGATGAAATCCATTTCCACTCCGTGGGGCAATGCCTCCATGGGGTAGGTATGGACATAGTAATGAAATTGTTTATACAATGATAAAAAAATATCAACAATTTAATGATACGGTTGGTTATTTTACAAAGCTATTCATGAACTGTTAGTAGAAATACCTTATAAAGATCATACAATCATGAAATTTGACTATATGTTTGGCCAATATCTATTTATAAGTGTTTGAATAAAGTAGACGTTTTGCCAAATGAATTAAGACAAATTTGCAATACTATCGATGTATTGGGCTCCAACGAGTATGAATGTTTCTTATGATAACGTCAAAACGAAAATGAAAGAAAATCACTCTCTAATCATCTAACATAATTAAATAAAATAACTAATGCATCTATAATATATATTAGATTCTTATTTAGTTATATAGTGTTTTTTTTTTCCAGTAGGGACTGTATTTTTCTTAGGGTTGTAATATGTTATTTCATTATTTTCATATTAAGATATCATTATGTTATTCAAAAAAAACATTAGAAGCTTATTTGATCTATATTTTATTTTCATTCATGTAATGATATGTTTAATAAATTAATTAATTTATTTTACTAAATTTAATCGGCAAAAAACATTCATCACCACGTGCGATGCACGTGCACTTTACTAGTATATATATATATATATGGACTGGTTCAAATAAAAACTAGTTTTGGTGTGAGAACCGTGAGAACCGTATTTGATGCTATTTTTAATTATACATGATGTTATTTTTAATATTACATTGTGCTATTATTTTCACAAATGCTAATATAAATTGTGTTGCTATTTTTAGTCAAATACATCTAATTAAAAATAGCATCAAAACACAATCATCATAACACTACGTACAATTAAAAATAGCAGTTTTCAAGGTTCTCACACTAGCACTTGGTTTTTATTTGAACTTCATCCTATATATATATATATATATATATATATATATATATATATATATATATGGTCACGCTCTCCTGCTGATTTAACGTTATAGCAATTATAATCCCAAGATTCTAACGTTTCGCCTTTTGGTCCTGTAGTAATTTAATATTGTGCATCAGTTGAGATAGATTTTTTATTAGCAATTTAAGTCATGTAATTTGAAATTTATTTCAATTTCAATCCCCTAATTTAAAATTTTGTTGCAATTACAGTCTTCAGAGGACTTTAAATTGCAGCAAAATATTAAATCATAGGATCAAAAGGCAAAAAGTTAAAACATTGAGACTAAAATTGTCTTCCTTCACTTATTCATTTTTTTTTTTAATCAGGTACCACGATCCTGACCGCAATTAAGAACACGGTCGATCAGCGCACAAAAGTCGTTTTCCAAAAGAACCCGAACTCCACAACTCTAAAACAGAACAAATTCGCGTACGCAATAGTCGTGGTGGGTGAGCCGCCTTACGCGGAAACATCCGGAGACAGCATGAACCTGACCCTGCCCGAGTCAGGAACTGCCCTAATAAGCAAAGTTTGCGGCTCGATAAAATGCGTGGTGGTCTTGATTACGGGTCGCCCGGTTGTTATTGAGCCGTATCTGACTCAAATGGATGCCCTTGTGGCGGCTTGGCTTCCGGGGACAGAAGGACAAGGCGTGGCAGATGTTCTGTTTGGAGACTATGGATTTACGGGGAAATTGCCGCGAACGTGGTTCAAGACGGTGGACCAGCTGCCGATGAATGTGGGAGATGACAATTATGACCCATTGTTTGCTTATGGGTATGGACTCACTACCGAGCCTGTGAAAAGCAACTAAAGTTTGAACTCTAATAGATCATATATGACTGTTGTTATGACTCTATTTATCTATTTATGAACTAAAGTTTTTCGTGCGTTGAACTAAAAATAAAATCAAATACAATATTATATGTACCTTGGTATACTCGATCACGGTTCACGGCTAACTCAATGCTAGTATGCTATCCTATGGGTAGTGCTCGAACATGGCTGCTTATAGTCAAATCTACGTTTGCTAATTTCAGTTTCTTTTTTTTTTTTTGTAGTTTTCTTATTCTCGTTGGATTTTCCTTTCTTGTTCCTCTTTCTCGATCCAAAACAGCAGCAACACCATTTTAGCAAACATTTGCACGTTTCCTGGGTGGTTTTTTCTTCTTTGGGGCATACAGAGCTTGCCTAGACACATAAATGGGACTTTGGATCCCGTCAAGGCCTTTCATATTTATCTGTTTCAAATATGACACTTATTTTAGAACTCGTATAGAAGCCTAAACTATCCACAAAAACAGAATGTATCTTCAACATACGTTGAAAAAGACGACATTATGGTTGGAACAACTGTCGTGCCTATCAATTCCATCAAATCTTTAAGGAAACTGCACGTAGCATATATGTGGGTCCATCGTGAAACTGCAAATTAGATGGAAAAGTCATTCCAACGAAATATTTTTGTTAGAATTTCCGTTGAAATTCATTGGAAAATTCCAACAGAAATAATAACATTGGAATATCAATTGAAATATATTTCCATTCGAAATTTCCGTTGGAATTTCATCAAATAGTCCAATATAATACACTCAGTAGACCATTTGTGTATATTTTTTCGAGTAGTTTATTTATTTAAAAATAAACAAAAATAACTGGACAAAAAAAAAAAAAAAAAGGGAGTAGAAAAAAATCAAAAGGACGTATTCCCGTAATACGTTTTTCAAATTAAATTTAATTACAAGAACGTATTCTCGTAATACGTTTTATAATTATATTTGGAAATTAAAATAAATAGTTCCGTTTAAAAGAAAAAGAAACAGAATAAAAAATGATAATTGTAAACCGTATTTCAAAAATACGTTTTATAAACCCCTAAATTTTCAGAAACCGTATTCCGAAAATACGTTTTAAGTTTTTATATATAAAAACGTATACTGAAAATACGTTTTACAATTAAATGCTTCTAAAACGTATTCCGGAAATACGTTTTACAACTAAATATAAAATAATGTTATCTTCTTCTTCTCCATTCATTTGC